GCAGGGTTAAAAAAAAAAATTTATGTGTTTGTTTTTTTCCTGCAGACAAAGAAAATAAGGCATGAACACTTGGCAGTCTCAATCAGATTGGAAGAGCGTTTAGAGAAGTATTTAAGTCTCGGGGGGGGTTAATGTTTTTTTTTTTCAAACAGCTTTATGCTCTTTTCATGCTATTGTTGATGAAAAAATTTTATCATCTTAGAGTTCATTAGGGAGTACCTTTTATGAAAACGCAAAGAGAGAAAGAAAGAGGATTATCAAAGCATGACATCTGTGTGCCCTGTAGACACTGTAGTGTAGTCAGTGTAGGAGATCAGATCTGTCATCAGAGACTTAAACTTTACCACAATAAACTTCATCTCACTGTGGAATAATTAGCAAGATAGTACAAACTACGGGTTTCACTCTTGTGACCTTATGCCAGAAAAAGTTCAGTTAAAAAAAAAAAAAACAAGGCGATTTGGCTTCTTAAATGAAATGTAAAAGCACCAGTGACAGAAAAAGAAAAAAAAAACAGCATAATTAATCGTACAAATTTCCTGGATTTGACAAGATCTTGAAAAGAAAGGAATCTCTGTTGGATCGCAAAAAAAAAGAGCATAGATGATTAAAAGACGCCAAAGTTGATGAAAACAAAATTTTCGCGTCTAAATGCCTTTTTAGAGGAAAGATCAAAGTATTTTTTACTTATTTTTAAAAATTTTTCCTTTTTTTTTAGAACATTGTAAATTTTGATTAAAAGACCTTGTTTCTCTTTTTATCAGCTTGGCTGATAAATTTAAACATTTGGGCGCGTTTTTTCCCCGTTTGACACACATTAATTTGGAAAATCTTGCAAAAATGAAAATAATTGTCGGATTTTAATGAAATTTTCAGAAACTATTTACAAATGATGGAACTTATTATAAATACATTTTTTTTTAGTAAAGTCATCGCAGAATTTTTTTTTTTTTTTTTTGTATTTACCCACTCTAACTAATTGTACGAAAACTCTATAATTTCAATTCTTAGGAGTTTAGTGATTATATCAGTTCAATGCTTTGAGGAAACAAAAATCATGTTTTTTTTTTTTTTTAGTTGGAGCCCTTCTACCTGAAAATCGTCTCTGAAGTGTAACATACAAAAACTCAATAAAACAAAAATATTATTTAATTTCAAAAGCTTTTAATTGCTTTTTTTTATTTATTCCAATAAACATGGACAATATTGTCTGAAAGCAAAAAGATATTTCGATGAAAAATGAATTTTAAAACAATTATACAAATTTTTATTTCCGCAAACCATTGTTTTTATTTTACATTATGTTGTTAATTCTTCTAAAATTATGGAAAAGCGCGTACAGCTTAACGGATGTTGTTTTAAGTAGATATATATTTACAGATTATAATTTTTATTACAAACTAATGAGTCTTCGTATATAAAAAAATTAATTTTCAATAATTGTTTACCAATGAAATCTACGGAAGACCGGAAGTTTGGTGCGTGCAATAAAAATAACGTCACGTGGATTGAGTTTCTGTCTAGTAAGGGTTGTTCTTCGCTGTATACTCTTAATTTCAAATCTGAAACACTGTGGAATTAATTAAAATAGGTACTTTCATCTAGTTTTCATCGTAGTCCTGTAATGTTTGGTTGAAATTGGTTGAAAACTAGGTTGATCCAATAAACGTAACACACACAACCTGGGTTTTATAATAAGTAAGATTCACATTTTGCCTCTAGGCTTTTTTTACACTGGCCAATTTTTACTTTTAAATGAAACATATTGTTTGCTTTCAGAAAATACCTAGTTTATGATTCAGATAAAAATTTTTCAGATAAGTAATTTTTTATTACATAAAAAAAAAAAAATTTTTTCCGAGAGGCTGTGACAATTTGGCTTTTTACTATGTTTGATTATTTTACTGGGGGATAGAATTTTTTTTTATAATAGCAAATCTGAATTGACAGAATATGGGCCCTCAAACAGCAGTGCAGCAAAAATAGTATTTATAATTAAGAGTATCAACAAACCTATTCCTGGTTAACAAAAAAAAAAAAATTGTAATGGCGAAAGTTTTTTTTCTTTTAAATATTACAAGTTACTACTTTAAAGGTCCGCTTAAAAAATAATATGTCCAATCATGGGAACTCGAATCTCACGTCAGCTGTCAATAATTTATAGATGTCATCACTTGGCACTCTGTCAATCAATGGTATCGGCTCTTTTAATAAAAGTTTTTTCAAAAAATATTTTAAATAAACTTTAATTTTCTAAATTTCTTCGAATAAATATTGAAAACGTATAATTAATTTTTTAAACGAATTTTAAACGAAGAATTTAACTTATTTTTAAAATTTTTAAAAAAGTGATATAGTCTTTTTTGTTTTTTCTGAAACAAGTTTTTGTAACTAAAATTGAGGACAAGAATTAAAAAACAAAAATTACTCAAAAAAACTTTAGTGTTTCTTCTCAATAATGAAATATACTTTTAACATGAAAAAAAATTTTTTCGTTAATTTTTTCTTGTCATGCTATATTAGAGGAAATAATAGAGGCAACGTATGGAAATAAATAAAGAACACGGTTCGTAAAACGTGAAACTTAATTGTTTTCTGAGGTGCTTTGAGGAATGGGAGAAAGGTTTTGATGTCGCAGAACACGGTTTGTCAGGTTGCAGGTGGTGAGGAATAGAACATTTTATGAGGGCAGAGAGCAAAGTTTAAGCTCGAAATCATTTTACTAAACTATCACTTAATAAATTTAGGACAAATGATTTCTAGAACAAACTTACTACTATAGCGAATATTTTACTTCTAAACTTTACATATTTCAAAGACGCTCGTTTAAAACAAATCTCTACTACACGGTCAATGCAGAACAAGAGGAACTCTTGCTACAAATCCAGGAATACAATTTTCACTTGCTGACTATTGATTAATTTTGCTTCAACTCATGTGACTTACTTTCCTTTGCTTGGCAACACTTTCAGGATCTTTTTTAGAGTGGAATTTTTTTTTTTTTTAAATAAACTAATTACTAATTTAATGTTTACGATGGATTTTTTTTTGTTTTTTACATTTAACAAGAATTTTCGTTAATAAAGAGAGTGGCCCATTCAAAAAATACCATTTTCCTTTCATTTTTTGGTAAAAGATTGTAATTGTATCCGAAATATCATTCTTTAATTAAATATACTTACATGATAATTGAAAATAGACATCAAATGCCTAATAAATTGAGGGTGGGGATGTTTATTTGCTTTATTTATTTTTATTTTTTGAAGAAATTCTATGTTGACACCCCTTCCCCATTTATTAAGACCACCCCGTTTATTAATTAATTTCGTACTTTTTAACCTTTTGAATGATTTTTCCGAAGACCCATTTTATTAAGATACCCCCCCTGTTTATTGCATCCAACACCCTCGATAATTATGAACCCCCTTTTGTATTAGGCACCTAACTCGAGAAGCCCTGATCAGTCATTTTTCCTAAATTTTTTTTTTGTATATATACTTTAAGAAAAAAAAAAAAAAAAAAAAAAAGAAAGAAAGAAAAGAGGTGGGGGGAAAATTATTATATTTATTAATTTATTTTTAAAATAAATAAGATGAAAAAAGATTGAAAATAAAAAAAAGAATAATAACAGGATTTTATTTTTAAATGCGTTTTTTTTTTTTTTGGTTAATTGAAACAACCCCCAATGAATTAAATTAAATTGAATTTTTACAATGAATAAATTTGTTAAGTAAAATCAACTGGGATTTTCCTAAAAAAAAGAAAAAGACTTCAAAATGAACATTTACAAGAATTTATGTTCTCAAATCAACAACAAATGCGAATCCTTGAAAACAACGTGTTCTCCCTCTCGTCAAACACATCACTAGCGGTGATGATGAGGTAAACAAAAACTAGGCAAGAACAAAATAAACAGGTATATATAGATATATTCTAGTTCAGAATGCGTTGGCAGACTAAAAATGTCATTTTGCTGCTTTGCTTAACAAAACAAAAAGCGATGGTCAGTGGATATACAGGTTGTCGAGAAATGGGATAAACACGAAGCTCGACTTTGCTCTGCTTACAGCTTTGTTTTTTAATATATTTTTAAAAAAGCAGTTTCAGTATTTATGTTTCTTAAAGTTGTTTCTTTCGAATATTAAAGTTTTGTTTTAAAACGAGATCCATATGTACACAAAATATGAAGCGGCAAAAGGTCATTACATTTTTATAAAGAAACAACAAAAAACAGAAGCAGATGCTCTCTTTCTCCCAAACTGCACACACAGGTGAAAGAAGAAAATGTTGCACAAATTAATGACACTTTTTTTTTGTATTTTTAGAAGATACCTTGAGACGTGAATAAGTAAATAAACTAAAATTTATTAGTTTTCCAAGTTATAGTAAAAAAAAAAATAATAGAGAATAACAAATAATGTAATTGGTAAACTAATTAATTAAAGAAGTTATTGTATGGAAAACTAAAAAAAAAAAACAATAAAAACTTGCACTTATCCACCAAACGATTCACAAGGATTTAAACAGATTTAAAATTATGAAATCTAAATCATAAACCATAATTAATTAAAACTAATAAAAACTTTAGCACATATAAAATAAAATAATGCAGTTTTTTCACGGAAACAATTCTTTAAATGTCCTTTTGGTGCAAGGTTGGTTTTCAACAGTCATCAGCTTAAAAAAAGGTTCAAATTTAAAACGGAAACTAGTTTTTAAATTCACACGGATTTGTAAACAAACATCAATAGAACACCGACTGTTCTAGTTTTTTTTTCTGTTTTTAATTAAGATGAAATGAATAAATACTAAGTAAGTAGGAACAATTCCAAAATAAAATGAAGCTGTTGACAAATATGTCAACGCAGCAGAAAGATGTCATCAATTTTACTACTCAACTAAAAGATGATTATTTAATTTGAATATAATAAACTGTTTTTTTTAACATTCAATAAAGAAAGATAAACGATGATACAATTATTAATAATAAAATTAATTACCTTTTGACATGTGAATATCTGTGTATGATCCATTTGTTTCATGGTGGTTAGAGGATGCTCTCAGTGATGGAAGGATTAAATAAATTGAACGTATCTCCGAAAAAAAAAAAAAAAACTCAATGGGAATATTTGGTAATTGTTGCTTGAAAAACAAACACGGGAAGCTATTGGTTTAACTAAAAACTGGTGTGAAACTAGTAACGAGAGAGTTGTGCAAAGAGAACATGATCGTTTTCAGTTCGCAGTAAAAATGCATCTAATCTAATAAGGCGGAATAATAAGAGGTGGAGGAAGGTTCTAGGTTCATGGTGCTACTGCTTCTCCGTCTCCTTAGTTAATAATAGTAGTCAGTGGGTGAAGAGCATCAGCCACGTTCAACATTAAGAGCTACCACCACCGTCGAAATCATCAATTCGTTGCTACTTCCATTCTTCTTCTTCTTCTTCTTTACTTCTTCTTCTATTGTTGCTGCTGCTGCTACCACACCACCAGCATCGACATAATCAATTTCAAATGCAGTCTATGCGGGTGTGCACCATAAAAGTTACACCATTTCTCTTCTGATTTTCTTTTCTTTCTTTTTAATTATTTCTTTCCTTTTTTTTAATCTTCAGCTTGTTGATTGTTAGATTTCATTTAAAACAAAAAAGCTTTTTAAAAAAAAAAGAAACAAGTACTTTTGCAGTTTTACATGATCATGTAACTAGACAAACACCCATAATGTCAATATATACACAGAACTGGCCTTGAAGATATATAGCCTTGGACTATAATAAACGTACCGAATAAGAAAAGGTCTGGTTTGGGCAAAACAATTTTAAAAAAGCAATCTTTTTTACCATTCAGTCAGTCAGCTAACTTGCTTACTTGACTGAGGTTCTGCAATAACACCTATGTTGCAGGATTGGTGTTTATTAATTTCGGACAGGATCTAGGTTAAAAAAAAAAGAAAAGTTAATTTCTTCTCCACAGAAAATAATTCATGCAATATTGTGAAGGCGTCACAATTGCTTGCTCTTTCTTTTCTTTTCACTTTATAAACCTACTTACAAACGTGACAAATCATGTTTAGTTTACTGTTGAATGTGGACTGTCCTCAAATTGAAACTAAAAGGGACGATAAGAATTTATTTTAAAATATTTTTTATAAATTTTTGCATCAATCGCTTTTTACTTTTTACCCATCAAAAATCGTTTCTTTTTCATTTTTAGTTCCACAGAGAGTTTGAAAATTTCTTTAAAACGTTGCTACAACTTTATACAAAAAATTATTAAATCAGAGAGACGTAGTAAAAAAGTTTATTTGAATAATATTCAACCGTATTCCATTGGTTTTTACCTGGGCTTGTACTTTCTGCCATAATTAGTGAGTTAAGATCTAAAAAGACATTCAAAAATAAAGTTTTATGATCAGCAGTTTCTTGATTCTAAATCTTGTGACACTCTACTGACACCTGATGTGAGCCCATTAGCATGTATCTAGGTTTTAGTAAATATTTCTGAAGTCATCTTTAAAAATTAATCATCTGTCACCATTTAGTCATTGATTAAATCCAGATTTGGAGATATGAGATTTACTCCGAATGTATCAAACAATTTTGAATATCTTGAGAATCTTGAATATCTTGTGTGGTCTTTTGACAACCAATTCAAAAGGAGTTTATTGCATTTGCATGAACAAACACTCTTGTGAGGGTTATTCAGTTAGCAGTGAGGCCACACTGAGTGAGCTTGCATACTGTGTGACCATCACAGTCACATGCAGTGTCTCCAAAATGTACAGTATCGTCAGCTTCCCCCTCCAGTGTTCACTAATTTGAAGGTTCACTTTGGTTACAAACACATGACCATTGATTACTACAGGAAACCTTCCACCTTGGTTGTTAACATTAGTCTACTAAGCCCTCCACCCATTGTTGGTACAAATGATACAGTGATCAATTTTTCTTTTTTATACATTATGGATTAGGAGCTTTTTTTTCCTTTTGATAAAATATTACATTTGCAAGTTTGTTTTCACTCCACTTACACTCTAAATTGAATTTTAGATTTTCCTGAAGCTAGATTTGAAACACTGTGGACGAGATTAAGGAGAATATGGGAAGAAAACTAATGGTAATTGTGAAAGATAATTTTGTTCACTCTTTTTAGAAATGAAAGAGATGCTGGGATAAATATATAAGGTCCCAAAAAGAGTGCTTTGAAGGTAGTATTGTCATAAGAAGGTTTTCTTATTGTGGTTGTTTGTTTTATTTTATTTTTTTTTTTTTGTATTTTGTGGGGGGATATTTTCCGGACCAGCTTTGGAAAGCCAAATTCACATCTTCAGCAATTTATGTTTCCATCATTTCATGGAGGCTTGCCTCAGTGGTTAAAAAATCCCAAGTGTGTATTTTCTTACTCTTTTTATACTTAAATATCCTGAAATGGCTTCTGTATCCCAACTGTAATACTTTCTAGTGATTATATTTCATATGTAATTTGACTATATATATATATATATATATATATATATATATAAAAATTAATTAAATAATTAAGAGACAACCTTAAGGTTCCATGACTATAATTTATTTCCCCAGAAAATATATTTTTACTGGTTCATCAGGTCACATCTCTAGTTACAAAGGAATTTGGTTTCTTTTATTTTTAGTACAAGTTTTTGATGGATCGTTTTCACTTGATATAAGGTGACAGAGGGGGTGTAGATAATGAAGGTTTGGTAATCCGTGTGGATAATTCCAAAGAGGATGTAATCCAAAGATAGATAAGGAAAGGTTCATATTCTCTTTGGAATTATCCACAAAGATTACCAAACCATTACCTTACTATACATATATCTCTCTCTCTCTCTCTCTCTCTCTCTCTCTCTATATATATATATATATATATATATATATATATATATATATATATATATATATATATATATATCTGTGTGTGTGTGTGTATATATATATATATATATATATATGTATTACTGAGGCTAGCTCAATCTAGCACAAGGTTACAGTAGTGGGTTGCCACCCACTAAGGAAGATAACTCAACTCCTCAACATAGAACATAGTTTTCTATAATTCATTCAATCTTGCTAACCAACACATTATGGGAGGCACCTTTCCGCTTAAATTAAGGAATGGAAATCTTTAAAACTATGACTACTATTACTTGTAGTACTTATTATCATTTAGTACTATGTAGTCGTGTTGCAAAAAGTGACGGCAATTATTAGAATGTTTTAATACTGTGATGCCACACAACAAAAGTCGTGAAACAATGTATCAAGATTCAATAAAGCAGAAATAAAGAATTCACAACTAAGATGGAGGCCAATAAACTATTTAATTAATCCATTTCTTCAGAGTTTTTAGACGTTCAATCATGTCCATGTGTCACTGATTACTCCTGATATTATATAAATCACATTTTACTGAATATCTTTCTATAAATTTTATGTTTCATATAACAGTGAAATAGAAAAATCTCTTGGAAGAAAAATTATAGCAAGAGAACAACAAAAACGGTAACAACAAAGCCTATTTCAAGACCAAGTTGAAGCAAGACAATCCCTTAATAGACAAAGGTATCTGAGTGCCTCCATGAAAAGCTTGAACAAATAAGACTGCAATCTAAGAAACATGAGAATAAAAGAACTGATTAATTAAATTGTCCATCTTGTTAAGAAACTAATTTTGTCTAAATGCTGATAAATATTTTATTTGTATAGATTATTAAAACAACTAATGGAAGCAATCAATCATAAGTTTACTAACATAACCTGATTTACCTCCCTTCCTACTTACAGATGGGACAGGAAATATATAAATAAATATACATTGATAATTATTATATGGTTTCATTAAACTTATATCCTTTTAAGTGAGGTAATCTATTGTTTTTTAAATCAGTTTTCAGGATATTAGAAGAAAAAATAAAAATGAGTAAAAATTTTATATGCATCTGGAATTTTGAAAGATATGTTAGATTACTTTTTTAAATACATTATATGCCGAATGTCTTCTTATTTTGTATGCCATGTCATTTTAGGACAATAATAGCTCAGCTCTGAGTACTGTTTATCGTGTTGCTATCCCTTCCATTTCCACTTCTGACCTCCATTTATACAAGTTCACTAAGTTACTTAATGTTTTCCTCCTGTATCATGTTCCTTCAATATGTTCATTAAATGTGTAATTCTCCAAGCCTTCTTTCTTCATTTTTTTTTCTTATTCTGTGTACCTCATCCCTTCAGGACATGGGCGATCATGGCTCTCCACAACTTCCTAACCTTAGTAAGTTTTGTATTTTTGCTATCTCTTCTAATCCCTGTTCTGCCAACTAATTACACAAGCTTTTTAGATAGATTACACACTGCTTTCCTCTGTTCCTCTTGCCTTCAATATGCCCTTTGAGTGACAAATTCTCTAAGCCCTTTTTCTTCATTATGTACCCTAGAAATTTCAATTGTATCTTTCTGATTCTAAAACATGTTCCAGATATTTAAATTTTTGGACTTGCTTGATTTTATCTTCAATTCTTGGGTTGCTCATTTTGTTGACAACACTACATTGTCTTCTTACAATGATGCTTAATCTTCTCTAATTGCCTTCCCGTCCTGGGTATGACGATAAAATACATTCGCATCCTGGGTAAGATGATAAACTACATCCAACAGCAAGGCCTCTGATCAGGAGGTTTTGAGGAGCGTGGAACCACCTCTTAATTGCTGGTGTTCCCAGGTCCATCCTGACCCAGGGTGGTAGCACCTGTTAGGGTCCCATCTATAGGAAAATAGTTAACACCTAAACTTGTGTAAAAATAGGTTTTAATACTAGAAATACTTTGTAATAAAAAAAATTACTACAAGCAATAATTTTTTGAAGGAAAAATTATTATCAGCAATACTTTAAAAAAAAAAATAACAGCAATACAAACAGCTATACATTCTTTGACCAGCTATAGATTTCTTCAAGGAAAAATATTCCCAGAATTAGATTTTTGAAGAAAAACATATTACCAGCAATAAAAATTTTATCGGCAT